TAGAGTAAAATTCATTTATATTCGAAATACTGATCATAGTGCCCAATTAACTAAATAAAAAAATCATTAAACTCGGTGGTTCAAGTTAAAATTTTATTAGTGTCATATTTTAAATTAAAAAAAATAAAATCTTAAGAATCCCAAATTTATAAAAAGTAGTTTTGTAATAATCCTTTTTATATTAATTATATGTTGTAAAAGTTTGAAAATTGTCATCTAACATTTTTATAACAAAACTATTAGATATTATACAGTTGTGTTACCGGCAACTGGTAAGCACATAATGACAGAAGATTGTCATAGTATTTTCAAAAGCATCCCTCAAGAAATAACAGCGTATCCTATTTTCTTACCGAGTGCGCACAAGGTTAATGCAATTATACCTATTTATTAAGTTAGATTAATTACCCGTATAAGATATAATAGTCTGGCATTTGTAATAATAATAATGCTTTGCATTTATGTAATATACGTTTATGAAGCTCGACGTTTCTTGAACCGTTGTTCGTCGGTTAATAAACAACCGAAGCCTTAAAAGTATAAAATATAATTATTCACAATGAAACTTCAATATTAATTAGAAATTAAATAATTAGTAAACATCACGTGCGTATTAACACTTTTTTTGTTGCTGATCACGTTATACATATTGTATCTAAAGCATTTAAAAAAAATTTTAAAAGTAATTATACTACATATATGGAAACTCTATTACTGAAATTAATATACATTTATTTTGGTTGTACCTATCAAATAAAGATTAATTTAACTTTAAATTTTTAAGTAATTATTTCTTATCTTTAAGTTTATTAATATATTTATTTTTTTATAACTTTTTTTTTGTTTTTTTCTATGGCCTACCTTTTAAGTCTATAGTATCCTAGGACATTTTAATTTTTCATTAAAAAGTTGAAAAAACTTGAACACTATTTAATTTTTTTTCGATTTGAAAAAATATGTTTAAAGCTAAGTATGACATTTGAAAGTCCTTCGTGAAAAAATTGTTTTTTATAGGTTTTCAGTGTTATCAGATTTGATAGGTTATAACTTATAAATCAATAAAAATAATTTTTATTGTGAAATATCAAAGGAGGGATTTTGAAGTGTCATATTTCAACTGTTAGAATCTTTCTTAAATTTTAAAAATGTTGATCAGTTTTTAAGCTAAAATTGTTTAAATGAAAAATTAATAATAATACATATTATTAATTAATTAGACCTCATAGCGTGTAATGCTTTTAACAATATCTTGGTTATCAATGTGTACGTCAGGACGATTAGATACGATTTGTAATCCTAAAAATATAAATTACCCTAATACAATTAGTTATTGGCGTAGATAGAAGCCAAATAGCTTGCAATCTTAGTTAAGATTCTAAGACAATAAGTGCATATAAAATATACTTTTATGTAGACTGTCGAAGTCCCAGACAAACCTATATATTATGGTATTGATAGTTTTCGAATTTATTTAATACACAAACTTCACATTTCTTGTGAAAACAATTGCCCAAGTGCGAATATACATAGCAATACTAGGAAAATATAGTTAACTTACTTATTTGTATATTCATTTACTTATTATTGAAGCACTATAGACTAAACTAAGGAAATTCTTTAAAAAAAAAACAAGAGAGACTAGTTATGAGTAAAAACTCCATTTAAAAAATATTTTAACTTTTGAAAACGGAATTAATGATATTACACCATGAAGATTAATGATGCAAATAGTTTTACAACTTTTTATCTGCCCGACCACCTTTCCTCGAAATCCTTACATTCCTTTCTCGACGTTTTACAGTTCATCGAAGATTTTTGTTTATAAATGTGTTATATTATTATATATTTCACTCCAACAGTTTCGATTTTTTACTACTTCTATTACATACTATGCTTTTTTCATCGCTTCTCAGTCGTATATTTCCTATATAAGCTTGTGCTTGTAACCTCAAAATTAAACATTTAAAACGAGACTATCCGGTCACATGTTAGGTTTTCTGTTGGTGCTAATATTCATGACAACTGAAGAGTGTAACTAATAGCAGATAAACAATGTTATTACTTATTAGCATTTATAAATAATACCTACATTTATTCATCGGTATAATAGTCAATGCTTGCTCACTCAACATTCCATCAAAGCTACATTTGTATGGGCCACCTCAGTGGCTTATTTATGGGGAGGAGATTTGTTTAGAATAAATTATAAATAATAAAATACGTGCATTTTTTAAAACATTTCCAAATTATCAAATCAATATTTCAATCCACGAAAGCTTTAACATATTCATAAATACGAATTTAAATTAAAGTGACTATAGTTTCGGCGCCTTTGGGCCCATAATAAATATGTCGCCCGACATTCTGCTAGAAACTTTAAGCAAACCTAACCTAACGTATAAGCTTTTGAGAATATATAGACCCGGTATGCGGTACATCATAATATATACATTTATGTACAGTCGAGTGCGGCTGGTAATGAATTTTATGAACGATGTCGTCGCGGTGACGTCTTTCGGCGGGGTCGTGACCTAGCAAAACCAATTATCTATCTACACACACACGCGCTCAGAAAGCCGGCCCATACTTACGCTCCGAGGATGAGCATATGAAGCTGACCCGTACCCGTACACTGATGGGACATGAGGCGGTCACCGTGGTGTCTGTAATTGACTGAACGCAAGAACAAAAAAAATAAAAAAGAGGCCGCAAGACGGTGGCCGGGGCGCAATGAATAATTTAAAAATATATAATACTTATTAATATGGTCTTACGCTAGACTACTCGACCCAGTTGCTGCAGAGAGTCATTCGGCCAGTCAACAAGCTTTTGTTTATATTTTATGTTTTTGATCTCCCGAAAAAAAACACAACGGTGACGATGTACACGTTGATAGTTACAAGCGTACATAGTTCCGGCTGCACTGAGCACTAGTAAGACGTAGTAATACATTTTGAATATTTAAAAGATCGCATATTACTCGGCTCTACTATGTAAATGAATATTATATCAAAAATAATAATATGCATTGCATAAATTGCAACTGCGACTATCTATGACATAGCGAGTGGCCAGCACAATAACAACGTGCAGAGTCTGTAGTGCATGTATTATAGTCGAGGGCTAAACTATTCCACCGAGACGAGGTAGAAAATTTGTACATAATGTATATTGTGTATACTGGACACAGCACACACATCACAGGACACATCATCAAAATGTATGCTTTGCCCCCTTTTACCTACGTCATCGGACGGATCTACTATAGAGATGTGGTTTTGCTGTTCCTACGCCACTACTTATATTAATACAGATTACAGGTACATATACTATTCAAACGACAATTATTAATATTATCAATGATATTATGCATCTCTTTTGTCATTATACACGTCTAATTCTCGAGTATAGAACAACTTGTTTAATAGTGTAAAACAGGCCTCCATAGGCACCAATTATTACCGTAAAATAGGTAAGTTGAAAGTACGATTTTTGTATTTTCGGTTACTTTGAAGTTCCATTAAAAAAAAGGTTTATAAGAATTAAGATAATTATCGGAAATGAATTGTTGTTAAGTCAATTAGAGTAACATGCAACTATAATATGTAAAAAGCAGAGGCACAACATTTAACTTTTGGCTTAATTTGTATTTATGTGTTTTTGTTGCAATTCGCCTTCCATTGTTGTGAAATGGAACAGTGCTCTAAAAATGATCTATGTATTACCAATTGTAACGTTCGTGTAAGGATTGTCAAGATAAATAGTATTATTAAATAACAAAAATATACAGTTTTAATGGAGGTACAAATAATGCGCTTAAATTGTTGCGTTCTCTGTAACGTGCCCCCTTGAGCCCGTTTATAGTTTCTAGGCATCTTTGTAAAAAAATATTAAATTAATATTTTATAATACAATAAATCTAGAATACTTTTATTACTTATATTACCCAATTATAATGATTATATAGTAAATATAAGCAAGATTTATCAGAATTACATATTATATCATTATATGAAAAAACGAAAAAGTTGTAATTGATACCTACCGATTATAATAAAATATGTAAGGCTACTATAGTACTATCTATTAAACTGTTAATAAAAAATGAAATAATGATGTTGCCAAATTAATTTTTATATTATATTAAAAATTAACAACATTAGGAACATAACGTCCAAGTTTAGCATGATGTTTACTTTTTAAGTGTTATCTGGAGTAGAATGTTTAATTATAAGGAGCAAGGGCTAGATGTTGTAGTTGATGAGACGTGGAGGTAAAAATCGAACTATCTTGAAATTTTTTTTCAAGATTATATCATAAAAATATTATTCAAAAGAATATAATATTATTGTGCATTTTTTTTCACAATTATTACAGCGCCAAAAATTGAATATTTGATAATTATTTAAGATAATTATCAAACATTTATACCAAATTACCCGCTGCAAAACAACTTCCAGTTGCAGTTGTACTTTATTGGGTCATAAAATCAAAAAGTTCCCTTTTAAAATCAAGAAAAACACCCGAAAATTGTACAGATTTTTCAACTTATAATTACGGCGCGCTTTAACTTTTCGAAAAATAGTCGAATTTGTGTGGGATAGTTTTACTGTATTATCAATGTGCAGTGCAAAAAAACAGAAAATATAATTTACTTGAAGGTATAGGTAGGTAGGTATAGAAACTTTTTCTTTATTTCCCTTTTTTCAGGTACAGTTTTAGAGCCCCAGATCTAAACATTTGTAATCATGCTTTTTTATCGAAGAAAATTAAAAAAATAAAATAATACAATTATAAACACGTTTAATAAAAATATGATCTATATGATTAATTTTTGACCGACTACAGAGTACAGTTCGCGTTGAAACCGAATTATTTAAAAATGATTTTCACTTTTCGACTTTCCTCATGATATTTCTAAAGATCTCTGATCTCTCCCCCCTATTAGGTATGTTGGCTTTTTATTAACCCTTTTTTAATATTTATTTTTATTGTTTCAGGCGTTTTCCGACATCGGCCCGTTCGTTCAGACGTCGTCGTAAACCGTGTACATACGACAATGCTACCAATTGTAACGATATATTATACATTATTATTATTATTATTGTTTATTGTAATAAAAAAAACAAATCGTTTTCTCTGTTTTCTTTCCATTGGTGACGCTCGGATCACTCGGGGTTCTATTATTTTGTACATTATAAGAGAACCAAAAAGTACAAGAATATCGGTGGTGATCGAGTCGACTACATGAACAAATGTTAGCAGTGCGACAAAAGAGACTGTGCAAAATATGGGAACAGTAGACGTCATTAAAAACGCATTAACTTGTGTCGGGGAAAAAATGAAAAAAGACAAAAAAACTCGAGCATTCGGCGGTACTAATAGCTGGTGGAGATAAGCTGGCTTGCGACAGAAAATACATAAAATGCATGAAAAGCAGCGGCAACACATGTTTGACTTGTTATTTATATTTGTTTGATTTTAACAATAATAGGTATTAGGTACCCAACAAATCTATGACTAATAAAGTGAAACAGTTTTTAGCTTCGACCAGAGCTGATGAAGCCTGGCTGGCCTTGAAACTTTTATGACAATTGTGTCGTCATCACCAGTAGAGTATGTAACGGTAATATTGAAAAACATAAATAAATAACATGAAAGAGCAGAAAAAAAAATTTGATTCAAACAATTTATTTTTTGTTAGTCAAGTCCTAGTTTTTGTAAGTATATATTATTATAAGTAATATTATTCATTAGTACTCAAGCCATAATAGAACTTGTAATTTTATTACACAATATTTTTTTGGTGAAGGTTCACATTTTTACCCAGACAAAAATGCATTTATTCTATAAAAAAAACTAAACTTATCATTTTCTGATATCCGATCTAACATTTACTACGATTCTCGATAATTTCTTTTAAACAATATAATCGCCTTGATTATAATAATATTATATTAACTAAAATAAAATTGATATCTAGGACTTGATAATAGTAATTTAGAGTTTTAAGTAATTAGATGCAAAGATAATAATAATAGTAAATGAGATGGATACTAAAAACTTTTCAATAACAATAGGTATTTTTTAAATGATGAGAACAAATTTATCGTTACAACATATATTACATTAATAGCAACGAAATTAATACACTATTCAATATCACAATATAAGTATTAACTATATTATTGTTTAATCTGAAACTGAATTAGATGAATGTTTATAGTTTATAGCAAGAACTATGGAATATTAAATACTGCGTTTTAAATGGATATCAATATTTAAATATGAATAATGTATATTATAATATAATTAACATAGGATTATGTTTTAGTACACATATTAATTGGTAAAATGAAAGAATTACATAGAATGATAGTAATAATATTATACTAATCTGACATTATAATGAATACATATTCTAATCGAATCATTTTATATTATCAATTATTACATTTTGTGAAGTGAAAAACAGTTTTATAAAACAAAGATTTGACAGAATGAAAACTATTTTGTGAACCGAATTTTAATAAATTCAAAATATTACTGGAAATAGGAATTTAGTTCTCAAAAAGATAACATTTTAATGTATTATACTACATAATAATGATGGTCTAAATATAAAACCCAGTGATAATTATAAAATAATAATATTACATTTAACACTTAAAAAGACTGCCTAAATGATTTTTTTTTTTTTAATCTGTGCTAGAAACAAAAATGTGCTTGACAAATTATTCAATATTATAATTTATACACACTACACGAATGATAACTTCTATAAATTTAAATTAAAAAACTTTATTGTTATAAATTACATCAAAGTAAAACTAAATGGGAAACAATAACCATAATAAAAAAGGTTATCATTTAAGTAATCGCTTTATAAACATTATTATAACTGTGATAAATAGTATAAATAAGCAAATGTTAAAATGTATAAATGCGGAATGTCCGTTTAAATAAACCGTATTAATATTACTAATGTCTATAATTTATTTAATCTATGACAACTTTAAATTTATAATGATGATAATATAATATTAACAGTTATTATAAGTCAATAAAATAATTAATTTAATAAAATTATGTATTTAAAATAAATAACAAAACAAAAATTAATACAAATAAATTACAAATTTAATAAGATGTAGTGATGAAAAAACTGTAATAAGTAAAAAGCTTGTTTAAAAAGTGGTTTGGAGAAATTTTCTTCTCGACCAAAATGAAATACTGGCAAGCAAGGCACACCCTAATATATTATATATATATATATTTTTTTTTTTAAGTTCTAAGGTATATTTTTTTAGAAATCACGATTATTTTAAGTCTATATTAAGTAATACTTTTGAATAACAGTGTGATGCGTGGAAGAGACAGACAAGATTTACTGACTTAAGGCAGACAAATTATTTAGGAAGTCTTCTGGTGTGAGAATATGCGAGGACCCTAAGAAACAAATCATGATGTCAAATTATTTCAATGGCTTATATTATGCTTTACTATCAATAATAACAAACTTTACCTATAATGACTTCCCAGTTCTTGAACTGATTCGTAACTTCATAAGCGCACCTTATCTCAGAAAAACTGACTCCTCCAATGACAAATACGATAACTCTGGGCACGTTTTTGATTAATTGTTGTCCTTTGTCCTTATGCCAATGGCCATAGCGGGCACTAAAAGAGAGCAACATTAGACAGATGTACATAAAAAAAATAACTAGACAATTACCTAGTAGGTGCATGATATCCAGATGTTGCGGCCCGTCCAGCTAAGAACGGAAAATGTTTGGTGTCCAATTTGTCATCGATACATTCTTCCATCAGGTCCTTAATCACTGGTGTCCAACGTGACATTTGGTATGTCTGTTCGGTGATTCGTTCTTTACGTGGAATTTGGTACTGCTTTTTTCTGTTACCCTGAAAAGTCAAAGTAAAAAAAAACACAAGTTAAAAACTATTTAATAATAAATTTGCCTACAACTCGACATTTATTATACATTAGTTATTCAAATAATGTGAAGCGTCTGCTTTGCTAGTTGGCTAAGCTAAAGCTAAATGACTGTACTCCCTTAAAAATTTAATTTATCAGCATAATGTGGTTGTTGCAATAATATCATAGATTTAATATTTCACTATATTGTAGATGGATAAAACTGTTACATTTACACAACTGGATTTCAATCTCCCAAAATACCAAATTAAATTACGTGGTGTAGTTGTATGGAATACACTGTGCGTAACCGCCTTCTACTTTTCTATTTAGGCAAAAATTCAAAATAAAAATTATGTACCCTGCGATAGAGTACATGATTTTGATAAGTACACACATTGTATTCCGCCCTTAACTATACAGCACTGAAATCAATCAATACAGGAATATCTTCTTTCCTTATTATCATAGGAATAATAAATACAAATTATGCTTACATCCACAATTGTGTTGATTCCAAGTAAATTCAAATTGATAATAGCTTGTTTGTCAGCTGGCGAAAGTTGGGCGTGTTGAACAAGCTTGTTAAGGTTTTCTTCAGAAATGCCATTTTTGGACAAAACATATAATATAATGATCCTCATTTTGTCATTGCTTGAAGTATTTGGGTCCAACAGTATAGGCACAATACATCGCATGTGGTCTTTTATCTTTTCTCCTTCGGCGTCTGTACCCATAGCCAAATCTTGTTCAACTTTACAAAGCCTGTCAACGTTATCTTGATAGCACTTCATACAATCTTCAGCCAAATGCAAATGAGTGGAATATTTGCTCAGCTCTTTCTGATATTGAGGCATCTTCTTAATCATAGTAGACAAGTCTCTCATGGACGTCTTACTTTCACCAGCAGACATGCGCTTTGAATCAATAAATTTCTTCAAATTTTTGGTGACATTCCTAAAAAATATAAAATTTATAAAACACTGTTTATAAATTAAAAAATTTCACTTACGTTGAGACAACCGCAATATGCTGATGTCTGAGTTCAACCCAGAGCTCATCATTTTCGTCCAATAACACTTCCTTAAGAGGAGCACCCGCAGAAGCTTCATACCTAACAATATAAAATAATTAACTAACTATTAAGTACTACACTAAAAACAATTTACTTATAAACATCGTTTTCAATTGGCAAAAGATCATATGCCATTGCCTGAAATGTAAGCTCATGCAAGACTGGAGACACACAATCAAACCCTCTGTCCAATATAAGTAATTGGGATCGCGCTTTTTCTGGCCCTTCACCCATAGTCGGCTCATCCGCTTTATAAGCATCTAATTTCTGTTGTACAATCTGTGCCAATTCAGCATTGCGCTCAAAGTCACTTCTATAACGGACAGACGGATATTCTCCAAGAGTTGCACATACAGTAGCAATTTGTTCAGCTATGCGTTCCATGTTGGGCACACGGCTGCTAACCAATAACGGATTGTAATAGCATTGGAAAGTTTCACGAGAATCCAAAGAAAACACCTGAAACGTTCAGTCAAAGAATAAAGAAAACTATTTAAAATAATGTACATAAAATAATATTTGTATAAATGGTACAGAGAAATAACTAGAATAGCACTTTTTTCCAAATGGCATTTAAGTGATGTAAAATTTGTTTTGACTCACTACTTTTTTATTTTTTTTTTTAATGTTTTTTATATAAAAAAAAAGAAAAGACTTTTGTAGTTTTTTCCTGCATCTTTCATACATGTTATTAAATACACAAATAGCGAAACACTTTAAAAACGTTTTCTACACGCACCTGACGTTCATATGGCAGAAAAGCAATGTTAATCTCTTTGAGCGTTTTAATTTTTTTGGCAGCAATTGATTTGCAAAGCTCATTGAAAAGTTCCTCTTGGCACGCTTTTGTCACAAATGTGAAGCATTATAAAATAATTAGTATGTTAGTAATGAAGTATGAAGTCAACAACACACATTTGATAATAATTATTTGTAGCATACCCGTGTTTTGCAAGTCATTCAACACATAGTTTACAGCCTTTATTTAGTATTATAAAAAAAGAAAACCATTTATTACGTCATAGTAGATAAAAAAAGTGACAAAATAACAATCAATCCAAATATTAAAAAAATATGTTTAAACAAAGAGTTTAAGATTAATTTTGTTAGTTTTAGAAAAACGCATTAATTGTCCTAGTGTATACACTTCCACCACAAAACCGAATTAGCTTTGAAGCAATGCATATAATTTTACCTGTTGTTCATATGCAATAAACGCAATGTTAATTTCCATTAAAGTTTTGATGTATTTGGCGGCTGGGGATAAACTTAACTTGTTGAATAACTCATCGGGACATGCTGTAATATAAATAATATTGTAGGGAGAAATTCACCAGTTAGTTTTTATTTTATTATACAAATAAAATCTTTAAGAGTAAAATAATAATACAATTATTACTTTAACCCTTATGAGATGAAAACAGCATGTTTCAATTTTGGGCTCATTTACATTATTTACAAAATCTGCATTACATCCATAATAAAGAAATTGACTGGTTCGCTAATGTTTCGGAAGTATCTCTTGGGAAGTGTACGATGACGTTCAAAATCTAGGACCACAAGACCATTAGTCCATTAGTTCATTTGACTACAATGGAACGAGAAACACAAGACCTGTTCAAGAGTTCATTTCTCAAGATGTTAAGTGTAAGACTTACAAAACGTTGGCGATCATGTCAATTTGTAAATATGGCTGTATTAGTGAATTTTGTAAATAATTATCAATTAACATGTTGAGTGCCACAGTCGCCAATTATTGCACATTTCCAGTGATCTAGATTGACCAATGTTGCATAATTATGGATTTTTTTTTTCCAGGGCTATGCTCTTTTATGTAAAACCAAACAATAGCACTCAACATGCCAATAAAACATCAGTTCTACTGATATAACCCTAAAGCTTTCATATACTGTTTAAGATAACTCTGGTTTTTTCAGAAAAATATTTACTTTTTCGTTGTTTGGAAAAAATAAAGATCAATTGTTTGTATCGGACATATCTGTTTTTCAACAAAGACAAGATGATAAATAATGTTTAATAGTTAAGATATTTTTTTTTTTAACGAAATTAGAACAAATTTTCAGACATTTGTATGTTAATATTACCATTGATTATACACACTATAGAAAACTCGCTGCTATTGAAAATTTGCTATGCGATATATTACTGCTGGTATTTTACTTGCATTTAATTTACATAATAATGTACTGAAAATTGGAAATGTAGTAATAATACAATAATTAAACCTAGTTAAAAGCACTCGCCGCAATTCATGTTTTAGTGTTTATTTCATTAAAATTGGTTCTGTAGTTTTACATAAACAATGGCCTAAGTATATGAGGGGGTTTGGGGGGACTTAGCCCCTCCAAAATTTAATTAAGTCGCCCCATATTTAATCCTCATTAAGTGATCTAAGTCCCCCAAAAAATGTTGGTTATTTGCCCCTATTTGCACACAATAATTACACCTAAACACATTACCCTCCTTCTTCCGTAGTCAGGTAAAAATGTATAGGTAATAACTAATTAGAGGATAGGATATAATTATATTTACTCTAGCATTAAAACTCAAGTTTTAATTGAATTAATAAGTTGAGCAAATGAAAAAAAATTGTTTCAATTCACCTCATTTTACAGTACACAATGGGACCTTTGTAAGTCATTACTCACCGCGCCAGCTGGTGATCGTCAGTGGTTGGCGATCGCCGTTATCACGACAGTCGCCAACCATTGCGAATCTAGCGATTACAACGTTATCCGAACATACTAAATACGCGATAGCAACACTATAAAGTGGTATCCGATTTTTAAGCGCAACATATTTCTTATAGCAGTGAGTTATCTATAATATGTATAATCAATGATATTACCTATGTAATTTATGTACCTAGTATAATATTATTGTTTGTGTACTTTATATTAACAAAACAATCCCACTAAAATAAAAGGCACTTATACTAAGTGAGCATAAAACTAATCGAAACTACTATGTTTACCTCTTTGATAGGATAATGTTTCTTTCTAATTTAAACCAAACAAGGTTACCACAAACATAAATAATTAACAATTTTAAAAATATTGGAACTTCTCACCTTCTGTAAAAAATACATGTGCAGCTTTATACATCGATTTTCCTGGGCTTGAAAAGTCTCTGATCAGAGCGGCGACTGACTTCTCACTGGGCGACATCAAATAAACAGCTTCCAACGTAGCCAACGGTTCACGTTTCTTTTGTAAATCTTCAACAACTAAACAATATAAATTTTAGAACACGTTAAGTTAAAACATAAGATGAATTAAATATTAAAAAAAAACTTTACTAGTAATTCCTTCAGCAGAAATTTCATGCATTTTGCAACAGGCTGATATCATTCTCATAGCAAGTTGATCGACAACCATCACACGCCACTCAATACCTTTATCAACGCTTTTTTTAGCTCCCTTCTGTTTGATCACATCGTTCATAATTTCTAAAATCAATAGAAAATTAAAATAGGTACTATACCATTCCCGAGCCTAAATACAAGAATAACATATGCAATAGATGCGCTTATATTAAGTATATTACTTTGTCCGACGACTGCTTTCAAAGCCATATTGGTTTTTGAGGGAAACCAATAAAACAGTAAACAATAAAAACTTTCCGAAAGGAAAAGCTCAATAAATATTTTTTACACTTCAACTAGGAAACTACAACATTACGTCATCAACGAGTGTAATGTGCACTATTGATTATAGAATATAGTGGCTCCGGGCTCGCCTTATAGATTATAGTAGCTACACAGTGCACAGTTCTATTCGGTTAGAGATAAGAGTGGAGGAGTGGTGGAAATGAGGAAAATCGGTCAAGCCACAGTGCAGCCAACATTGTAATTATATTTCGTGTCGGTATGTAACACACACTCACACGCTTCAATTTAGGAACACAGATGTATATAACATTGATTAAATATACTAGTATATTTAATTAATGTATAACATGTATCATACATTATACATCAATGTATAATAACATTGATTAAATATACTAGTATATTTAATCAATGTATATAATAAACTAGATTGCTAACTAGCGATAAGAATTGAAGCCGACAGTCCGCCATTCTGGTGGGATTTATGTGTGTTATCAATGCATATAATATATATCTGTATATATTATTATATCAATAATATATATACATGTGATTGTTATAAACATATATTATTTTCGCGTGATAAGGTTCTAATTCCCACCAGGATGGCGGAAAGTGGCTGCTTCAATCTTCTCTATTGATGGTATATACAGTTAGCAATCTAGTTTATTATATAAATCTATGTTTAGAAATTTCTGCTAGTTTAGTCTTCTACTCGTTTCTTTACACTTTTTTAACACTAAGTTTTGCAGTAAAATTTTAAACGTATCATTGATATATCTACAAATATTTAATTATAATGATTTATTGTCAATTTCAAAAGACTAGTGTTTCTATACAAATATATTTTATTCCAGTATCTAAGGGTGTAGCTCGTTAAGAAATAAGGTCCCGACTTGAGATTGTTGGCAGTTCGTACTTCGTAGAGACCGTGCGATGAACGCGATATCGGAAAAGTGTAGTAGGAATTATCGTCTGAAAAACTGACTCTTGTTTAGGAGCCGGACATCTTGAATGACTGATGCTCAAGTTCGGCTGGCTTACTCTGGATACCGACCGTTTTTTCAGCTAAAACACATCGCACAGGCCGAACCAGTGATATGATAAGCAATCTAAAAAAGAATATGAATTCATCATGAAGTTTACTGGAGATCGGTCAAAGTATTTTTTTCAAACTTTAATTTGTACCGTTTCCAAATTTATTTAAAAATTTGAAATTTTATAAAATGTCCAAACGTGTTTTATGTGTAGTAGGAGTAAGATATCAAAAAAGTACGCTGACCGATCTCAAGGAAACTTCATTTTGAATTAAAATCTGTTTTCAGGTTACTTGTCGGATCACTGGTTCAGCCTGTACGATGGACAAAAAATTTACTATTGTATTAACTAAAATGGCTTTTACTCATAGATAAAATGATTTAAATTAAAAATAATACCATGAAGCTTATATAAATTAACCGGTAAATTAATTGACATGGTCGAAATTTAATAAAACCACTTTTTTCTTTAATATTGCCATACTCTATACTCTTATAGAATACTCCTTAAAAATGGTCGGTATCCAGGGGCCTTAAGAAATGGAAAAGGAACGTTTTGCCATGAAATTAGGGAAATGGCACATTTTGCTTAGAAACATTTGTTTGTCCTATGATGACATATGGGGAAAAAGTGCGTTTTGCTGCAAATTGGAAATAGTACCTTTTGAATTACATTTACACTTGGAAGAGGGAAAATATGCAAAAAACCGTTATTTTCAGTCAGCTCTTTCTTATGGAATAAGTGCGTTTAGACAAAAATTAACCACGTCATTCGATTTGCCGTCATATTTTCTGTTAGAATAATACTTGTAAAACTCAATTTTGTCAAAAAATGGAAAAGGTCCTGATCCTGGGAAAGGAATTGTAGCCCCTCAATTATGAAATATTTATTATTAGAATATTAAAATCGAAATGTTATAATATTTATATTGAAATAGTCAGTTCATAAAAGCATTGATTAAATAAGTTCTGTGGGAAATGTAAACAAATACAATGAACTATATATTTTTGAGTTAATTTATGCTATTTTAAATGGATATTTTACAATGTTTAAAATGTAAATATTATAAATTTAGATTGAAACAAAACCGGGTTTGGGGAAAGAAAATTTATTGGAAACAAAGACGACTATTCAAGAAATTTCAAACATTGTTCCTCTCCTGTCATTCCTTCTGCTGTTGTTCTTGATAATTCTTCTAGTACTAATCCTTCTGTAACTGTGGACTTTTTCTCCAAGTATTTTTCTTCTGTCTATTCTTCTTCCTTTTCATCACCTTCCTCTCATTCGCCTACTTTTCTTATTCCTTCCTTCAACCTTCCCCATATTGCTTTGTTCTCCATTGATGTACATCATGCTCTTCATTCCTTTAAAAATAACAAGTACATTGGTCCTGACGGAGTTTAAGGTGATTTCTTATTTAGACTGAGAGACACAATTGCGTGGCCTTTCTATTTACTATTTATGAAGTCCCTTCATGCCGGTGTTTTTCCCTCCATGTTAAAAATTGGTTGTATATCTCCAATTCTCAAATCAGGAAATCTTAATTTAGTAACAAATTATTGCCCTATCACCATTTTACCCCACTTATCCAAGTTACTGGAGTCTATTGTCCTAAACTCTATCCGCCCCTCACTCAATCATATCCTTGTAGATGAGCAACATGGCTTCCGACCGGGACGGTCAACGACCACATGCAACCTGTTTTTCTCTTCCTATGTATTTGATTCTTTTCGCCAACATAACCAGGTTGATGTCATTTATACAGATTTTTCCAAGGCGTTTGACAGAGTAAACCATAGTTTATTATTCAAAACTTTAAACACTCTTGGTATTGGCGATTCTTTACTCTCCTGGTTGCATTCTTATCTTGTAGATAGAATGCAATATTTTTCTGTTCATGGCTCATCCTCCTCTATTTTTGTTCCTCCTTCTGGCGTTCCTCAAGGTGCTGTTCTATACCTCTCTTCTTCTCACTCTTCATAAACACTGCCTCCTCTATTCTCCATCATGCAAAGTTGCTCATCTTCGCCGATGACATGAAATTTTTTCTCCGTATTTCTTCCATAGCCTTTTGCCTCCTTCTCCAACGCTTAGTTACTTGGGGTAAGTGTCTTGGACTTTTTTTTTATCAAATATTTTAATACTTTATAGTTTATTTGTATATGTTTTTGAACATTACTAGCAAAAACAACAAAAAAATATTTATGTTCATACGAAAATAATTCAACAAAAAAAGTGACCTGGAAAAACACATCAGAGTGCAAAAATAAACCTACATACTTTTTTCCTAGCGATTTTTCTACAATTGAGGCTTAATTATTTTTTTTAAGAATGTTATACTTAAATACATTTAAAAAAGGTTTAAAAAATACATAATAATTTTAATAGGTCAAAAAAAGAAAACATCGAAATTGTTCAATATTCAACATTTTTTTCTTCTCTTAGAACTTATTTTGCTATCCATTTGATCATTATTAGAATCATATCCTTTGAAATTTTTTAAATCATCCAGAAATAGAACCTATAACAAAATTAACATAATTAATACTATATTAGACTTTTGTTAATCAATATCTTTAATTTTTTGTTAGTGTATATTATAAATAGCCTAATAAATGTAAATTATAACAGACAATTAAATATACTAAATTCCAGCTGCAGTATTGGATTGCGAAATAATAATATTATAATGATCTCTACAAAACTTAATTGGTTCGATAAACTGGGCGATTAATCAAAAACAGTTTATCAATCTAATAAACTCCTTTGAAAGTTCTGTCTATAGCAATAGTTTAATTTTTTTAGTTTATTTAATAGAATATAATAATAAAACATATTATACAATTTTAATGACATTATTTCTTTTGAACATTATTTAGTGAACACACACACCACTATACAACACTATAATTGTATAAATTAAATCAAAGTATAAAGTTAATTCTTACTGTATGTGCCCATCCTGCATTAACCTTGAATAAAGATCTAAAGTAATCGCCAATTTCATTATAAACCCGATCAGTAACAGTTTTATACTTTTTTAAATGCGGTAAATAATTTTGACAGGCAATTTGGAATACATGAGTATCAACAGGGACTGCTTCTAGATGTTCAAGTGACATTAAACAAATGCAATCAGCTACCTACATATAAATAGCATATTTATTTGATTATTGGCTTTAAAACAATTGTAAACGTATCTGCAGTATTTGTGCAAAAGGTATAAGTTAAATTTTCGTTTGACTAAACGAGTGTAGTTTATTAGTCTTTAGCTTTAGGTTTCTTTAATGATAAACCGTAATTTAGGCGTAAAGTATTGTAACAACAAGAACCAACTACTTGGAATTCATGTTAAAAACACTTAGTTTCTTTTTTAAAATTTAAATTGAAAAATACTAATTTATCTTGGTTGCCCAAACACTACAGATAATATTGTTATGTAAGCAATATTTTGATTACTTTTGGCCCTACTCCAGGTAGCAACATTAATTCTTTTTTTGCACTGATGTAGTCCATTATTTTTAATTTGTCTATCCACTTATTACCGCCTAATTGAACAATTTTTTCAGCAGTTTGTCGTATAAATTTAGCTCTGTATCCGAATTTGGCTTTTTTTAGTTCTTCTTCGACCTTAGCTCCCATTAAAGATTCAATATTAGGAAAAGCAAAATAAGGTGTTCCACTTATATTTTCACCATAGAGACTGCACATGTTTTCGACCATAGATGAAATCCTATAGAATCCAAATAATATTAGTGATAAATTGTATAATTTTACATAGGTATTATATTGGAATTATATATTGTTATAAAAACACATTTACCTTGTAATATTATTGTTAGATGAACAAATAAATGATAATATATTTTCAACTGGCTCCTGTCTCAGCATTCTAATGCCTTTAAACTTCTTAGCAGATTTCTGAAATGTTGGATCACTCGAGCTCCATTTTTCATAATATTCAATCAAGTTTTCATCCATTCTAAGGTAATTAAATAAACTCTCTTCATCAGAGTCAGTAGACGGAACGCGTTTATACACAATATGATCGTCATTTTGTATAAGAGTCCAAAACCCACCAGCAAAAACACCAGCGTATTCATTTGGAGCAATTTCTTTCCACCTATAACAAAATATATTACTGGTATGAATCCAATGATCAATAGATAAAAATAATTCAATTGTAGAAAATAAATATCTCAATTAATAAAACTAGTTAAAAAATACAGGTAAGTCACAAAGATTTAACAGATATTATTATTAAACATATTATTAAAATACAAATCTCTAAAATATTCGAGACTAATATTGTAATTAATTCATAATTTGACGGTAATGAAAGTTACTCTATTACCTAATTTTTAACTCTATTTCTTCCATCCAATCGCTTCTTTATCTTATAACTATTAGCATGTCAGCATAGAAAATTGAAAAAAGTATTAAACCGCCATATGGTAATTACTAATTTATTACTTTCTAAACTATCAATGATAAAAAAAATATAGAAAATAGCCTAGACCAGATACAATATTTACAAGAGTGAACATCGAGGCACTATAAGGAATATACCCAGTTGTCAATCTTGTACATAGTTCTGACCAAAAAAAAAAAAAGTTTTAAGCAAATGTTGAAAAAAAATATTATTCCATGACAAAATAGATTTGTTTATTTAAATTGATTATCTATTTTGTCATACTTTATAAGAGCACAACTTAAAAAACCCATCCCTAATCTGTAACATTTAGGTAAACACTTGACTTTTGTTAAACAATTCTACTATACCTGAAACATTGACCACCTAGAAGAACACATTTTAGGTTTATCTGGTCTCTTGTACAAATAAACTTCCGCATCATACTATTATAAATATAAAAGTAAATTTAACTGTAATATTAGTATTAATTTTTCAGGTGCCGTTTACTGTTTAAATCTGCTTTCAGTTAAAGTCTATGGGCTCGTTTCGTATAAAAATGATTAAATGTTTTACTATTATTATTATAATTAAAAAAATAGTAGTTTATAAATAATTTCTTTAAAAATAAAATAATATTGTATTGTAGTTATAAAAAAAGTATAAAAATCGCGCAGTTCGCGCTTAAAGACATTGATAACTATTTATTGATAAGCGGTTGATTATAAAATCGTGATAACAAGATATCAGTTTATAAATTACTTAATATAATAACAAAAATAAAATACTGTCGTGTTCAAATTTTAAGGAAATCGCTAGTTGTAACTAATTTTTGTATGTATGTGTTAGTTTCAAGCCTAACACAAACACTTTATTATACTTTGAATTTATTATATTTTAAAGTTAAATCTACATAATATTAATATTATGGCTAATATTGTTAAGTGTGTGTTTTTAAGCACTTAATATTATTAAAATATACAAATGGTAAGTTGTCATAAGCATAATTTTTTAAAAAATATATATGGTTTGTGGACAAAATATAAGCAGATTTTGCTTTAAGCAGACAATCATTTTGTTTCAAAACTGATTACTTAATTATAATTTTTTAAAGTATCGGAAGATTATCTTTGGGGTATTTACGTACCAATTAAAATTATTATTATCCATGCTAATTTTAATAATTAATTACACGTTTTAATGTTTATAATATTTACTTATTGAACTATTTTCTTTTGACATAACTATAAGATCAAGAATTAAAAACAAATATACAACTAGGTATATATTTAATTCTCAATAAATATAAAATACTTTTTAAAATAGTATACCATTATGTACCAACATTAAGAACAATTTTTATCGTAAAAAAAAAATATATTTATAATATAAACTTATGTAAAAGAAATTTTCAAAAAATTTTATAACTAATGTAATACTGTAATAATAACCAACCCAAAAAACTGAAATAAAAAAAGTTTTCAACCTCTCTAGTTTATGATATTTTTTGGTTGTCAATGTTTATTAATAGTACTGTATCTAAATAATTTTCCATATGAAATTGGAATTTTTTTGACTATTTTAAAAAAAGTTATGGTGTGCCGTAGTTTAAAGTTTAAATATTATATAGGGATGTATTGGTTTTTTCTCGACTTTGAGGGGAAAGGGTGCACTTTTTAAATTTTTTGTCCAACAAGGTATATTTTAGGTACAATTTCTGACCTTAAGACTTACTGAATAAAGAAATCGGTACAGCGGCTTAGAATGTATCTAAAACATTGGACTGTTGATCTAGCTATAAAAAATAAAAATATGTCGTTGTTAAAACAATACTTTCTTAGCGCTGCATCAAAGCTAATGAATATTACATATAGAAATATCTAAAATTGAAATGTATTATCTATTTCTTGAACTTCATAATATTCCTCTAATTTTACTTTTAGCTTCTATGAGGAGTTGAGAAGTTATTGTTTTTACAATGAAGTGTTTTTTTTTTGTGTCTGGAATCTAGATCCTAGATAACTTTTTAACCGCTGAATGGATTTTTTAATCCAGCAAGTCTATAGATCAATTATTGAGTTGAGACTTTTAAATTTCCTTAAAAAAACACCAAAAATTATATTTTTTTTAATCTTAAAACTATGGTGCGCTAAAACTTTAACAACATTTAAACATAGTCTAAATATTTCAAATTACTATGGAATATTTTTTTAGATGCATTACTGACAAACCAAATATCATAAGGCCTTTCCTCTTGAAAGGGTGAAAACTTTTTCTCTATTTCTCTTTTAACTCACTCCGGCATTGTGCTATATCACAAAAGTTAAATTAAATTTTTAAAAAGCACAAGTACAATATTTTTCAAAAAATGATTTAAATTTAAAATTTCATATTTTGCTATTAAGGTGTTTTATTTACTATGAAATAAAATATAATTCAATACATAATATTATTCTTTTACCAGATTACACAGATGAAATAATAATGATAATCATATTATTGTTCAATTATTAATTTTCCCATCACATAAAAAAGTTATCATAGCTTGAATCTAATTAAAAGTCTTGTAGCCTGTAGGATATGTTTGAAACAATCGCTAATCAATCGGACGCAGTTCCACTATGTCCACGATACAATTTATATTTGAAGCCATCAGCAAGGCTTTTGATCTCTGTTCAGTTAAGTGGGAAAAGTCAAACAACAGTTTCCAACTGGCAGCTTATGGAACGTGTTAAAGAATGGATCGATCCAGACAAATTTTCAAAACTTTCTGTTTCAAAAATATCCGAAGAATATGTCAGGTTTGACCACAATAAAAGAGATATATAATTCATTTATTGAGTCTACCTAGTTTTTTTTATGTTCTAGGTTTGATGCAGAATTAGCAGACCGAACCCGTTTGGACACAGTATTGTTTCGGCTTTCAGATAGACGTATTAAATTGCCTGGATTTACCAATTTACTCACTGTTAAAGCTGCAGAAGTAAAACCTGATTTTCCAACACGCCATGATTGGGATTCTTTTTATCGTGACAGTAAAGACATGAACGAGCTCAAACCTGGAGAACGTCCAGATACTTTACATATACAAAATATACCGGTAGAATGGTTAACAGAACCTGGTGAAAACTTTCCATCTGAATGTATAATAAAACAGGCATTTGAAATTTATGGGGAAATAACTCAAATAGACTTGCCTGCTGCTGACCCATCAAGAGTAAGTCATGTAGCTGGGGTTTGCGATGTTTATATACAATACAAGGATTATTTAGGGTTTGCCAAAGCAATGGAAGCACTAAAAGGTTCAAAGTTAGCGTACATAACAAATACAAAAGCATTGTCTGCCAATATTAAAGTAGATTTTGACAAAACTAAGCATATGACTATAAGTTCAGTGAGTAAAAGGCTTAAAAGACGAGAAAAATTTATTGAGAAATTAAGAGCAAAACAAGACGAAGAAAAGAGAGAAAAAGAAAAGGAATTAAAAAAAATCGAGGAAGAAAGGTAAAAATGTGTTTAAAGTTTTAAAATAGAAAATTTTAATTATGTAAATTTTTTTTCCTTGATTCTCAAAGTTAATTTGTAGAATGACGACTGTTTGGTCATTAGCAAAGCTTTTTACTTTGTGTTGGTAGAAGTGAACTACCAATCTCCGATAAGACACAGAGGAAATGGTATAGTGCAATCAGACGTTGGCACATGTTTCTCAAACAATTTTTTTTAAAAGTTTGACTATAAATTTCTAAAAAAGTTATATATGTTATAGCCCCATGAACTACTTTCAATGTAATATTCTGATCTTAATGACGTTCGAAAAAGAAATAAAGAAAAGTTTTTACTTCTTCAAGGGCAAAGAGTTGATGATTTTTTTAAATTTAATTTATTAAAGTTTATCGATAGTAATCAAATTTGAATTATTGATTACATTAACCAGTAGCAAGACATGTGTTTTAGAGTCGGAGAGGCGATAAAAAAAAAATGGAATAAAAATGTATAAACAAATATTTGTTATTTATTTTAAATAAAAGTGGACTCTAAGTGGCTTTGCCACATCATGTTGTCTACTATTTTTAAAAATCTTTCAATCCCAAATTTTATTACTTATTAAATTAAAAAATGTAGTATTATTATTTATGTAGGTTTTCAGTATCGTGAATATTTTAATTTCATAACTCATTTTGTAACTTATATTCGATTAGTAATTATTTTTAGTATATGTTACGAATAAAGTACATGTTCTTATTTGTCTAGTAGGATATGTGTTCAAAAGTTAAGTTTTCAAATGATTTTGTATTAAAAAAAAAAATAGTTTAAACCATAATGTGCTTAAAACTGCTGTAAAATAAATTGTTACTTCTGTTTACTTTAGAATAAAAAAACTACATCAACTAGAAAAGAAACTGGAAAGGCGGAAACTGCGTCAAGCAAAACGTAAAGCAATATGTTTGAAACGATTAGCCGACCAACAGGCGGATACTATGAATCAACAGATTGCAACTGAAGAAAAACTTCTGTTAATTGCTCAGAGAAAACTAGAAGCTATTCATTTAATTGGGGAGTTATTACCATTACTCAAGGTTAATGTTGCTATATAAGCTATAACTTATTAAAGGGCAGCATGGCTGAGTCGAATATGATAGCATTATTGAGCATTGTAGCTAGGTTACCTCTTTGTTCCTGGCTATTGCTTTTTACTAGCAGATGACTATTTAAATAAAGATAGAGCTACTTTAACCACCTACCCAAGTCTTAAACTTTTTGGATTAACTAAATAAATAATTTCACCTTCCATTTAATTTAATTGTTTGGTTCTTTTAAAAAATTGTTTTGCCACATGCCTGTCACTCATCTCACAGTATCTCCAGTTAGTATAAACCCTTTTTGTATTTGTATATCCACTGTTGTTAATTATTTTATCTAGTAGCCTTATTTTACTCAACAAAAAGCCTTTTGACAAATAATATTGTATGTTGCAATTATGGGAGTTTCAAGTTAATTCGTTTAAAGTAAGACCACCCTTTTGCTCTTTCAGAAAGTTGATATAAAGTTTCTAAGATATTTTATGCTAGATACAGGATTGTTTTCTGCTAAGATCCCCTAATTTAATCGTATAAGGCGATCAGTCGTGGTTAGATTCACTGTACTGCAATGTAACAACTGTAATGCCAGCAGGCATTTTTTGTGTAATACAAATGTTAAATGTGAAAAAAAGAAGTAAAGGAATTTATACTAATTGAAATTTAAATATTTTTAGGTTAATCAAACTGCATCAAAAACCAATGAGAATGAGGATAAAATATTATGTAAAACTGGTAATTCTGTAAGTTATTATTTTAACATAACCATAATATGTATAAAGAACAAATAGATATAAAATCACTAGATTATATTCGTTTTTATGTAAAAAAATTGTATTCTATGATTTTAGTTTAAAGTTTGTTATCTACTTAATTTTTTTTATTTTTCTATGATTATCCATTATGAGTAATTAAAAATAGAAAATAAATTATTTTTTTAGGACACAGAATTTAAAGATATTGAATCCACTTTTAGACAAAGAATGATTGAAAAATGGAAACCAATCAAAGCTAATCGATTCGAAAGTAAGTTATAAGTGATTTTTATTATGAGTTCTGACATTAGGTACATTGTGGTGTACGGTGTCAAAATATAAAACAAAATTATGAAATTAATTATTTTTTTAATTGTATATATTTTATATGTAGCTCATATAATGTTCTTTAATTTTTCTTCAGACGCCGATTTTCGAAACATTAACAACCGTGGTCGAGGTCGTAACAATTGGCGAGGGCGTGGTAGGGGCCGTGGTGGATTACATGGTGCATACTTAATGCCACCCATATTTGATCCTATTCAGTTAGTAAAGTATGGGAATGAATACCAAAACGACATTCAAGACTACCAAGCTCAACGAAATGAGAAAAATAGAAGCCGTAGCCGCAGCAGAAGGAGACGTCGTAAACGATCAAGATCCAGTACGAGTTCTAGAAGTTACTATAGTACAAGTAGAAGTCGAAGTAGATCTAGAAGCCGAAATAGAAGAAGAAGCTGCAGTAGAAGTAGAAGTAGAAGAAAAAGTCGAAGTAAAAGTAGGAGCCGAAGTAGAAGAAGTCATAGTAGAAATAAAAGCCGGAGTAGAAGTTGGAGTAGAGACTATAGGAGATCGAGGAGTAAAAATCGTTCGAGAACTCATAGCCAGACAAGGAATAATAGAAGCAGAAGCTATTCAAGAAGTGTTAGAAGTTGGACTAGAAGTAAGAGCAAAAGCCCGGATAACACCAAGTTAAATGGTTCCGGTTTTAAACAAAAAAGAAAGAAAAGCAAAAAAAGAAAAAAGAAACACAAAAAATCAAAAAAATGATTTTCAATATTGTGTTTTTTGTAATTTGTCACTATAATTATTTACACATTATTTGTAATAATCTCAACAATTTTAAAATAGTTTAGATTATTTGTTTCATGTATTCACTCAAGGTATCATTATTGTTTTCATTTCACGAAATATAACTAATTTTATGACAAAGATGTTTTTTTCTTAAATAAATTACAAAATTAAAAAAGGTTAAGGTACTTACTCTTAACTAAAATTACATAATATATAAATAAATACTATCTAATAAATTTACAAGTAGCTTGTTTTTACTAAAAATAAAATAAATTAATCAATTAACTAACCGTTAAATATTTACAAAAGAACATTAAAAACATTTGAAACGTACAAAGCACCTTGTTTTACAATCATAATTTTTAATGTAAATATATATGTATTATATACAGAATAAGAAAAAAAAATCATAATTCCTAGAAAAAAATGTTGAGCGGATTCTTTTATTTATTTTTTTAAATATAATATATATTAATGATCACTCAGTTATTTTATATTTATTATTAAAATATTATTCTATAATGAATTAGGACTGTTTGGATTTCAGCAATTCCTCTTCTCGTACGGATTTGATAAACCGCAAAGCTTTGCGCCACGGGAATGGTGGTATAGTTCCTGCAAGTACGATCAATATACAATAATGAGTAACTTCGTTGGTTAAATTAAAAGTAACTTTTTAAAAACTCACTATCGTAACTACTCGTGTATCCCAGCGACCGAGGAGTTCTCAAAGGCCTCGCCCTTCTCTTGGTTATCGGCGCCTGGCTAGAATGCGGGGGGGCTAATGTCGACGAATAACCACCCTTAGTAACGCACATCATGCCGTACACTCGAATTCCAGGTACGCTGGCGTATGTCGGTTGATCGTGGCTCATCGGTCCTTCTGAAAAGTGTATAGGTAATAAGATAAAACTAAATATTACTTATTTTTTATCACTTTTGGTTTTACAAACTGAGAGTATAGGTACCTAGTAGACTGGTGTACGGACACCGGCATATAACCAAGTAGTGAGATTTTCCCGTACGCACGTTCTGCAAAGCTAACAAAGACCAGTCTCTCGGCGACCGGCATGTCCTCATCTCGGCTACAGGTTCGCATGTTTTGATGAGTGTCAACACCTGTAATCATTCACAAAACTTAATTTGTATTAATTACCTAAAACAGTATACATTAGCGTCATCACGCTTTTTATATATAGGTATTTAAGAACTTGTCAGTCCGATCATTGTAATGAAGCGATAAGACTTCTGAAAACCCAAAAGCCTTAGGCCCCTGGATACCAACCATTTAAAAAGAGTTTTGTATAGGCAATATTTCAGAAAAAAGTGATTTTAATAAATTTCGATCATGTCAATTAATTTACCGGTTAATTTGTATAAGCTTCATGGTATTATTTTTAATTTAAATAATTTTGTCTATGAGTAAAAGCCATTTTAGTTAATATAATATACATTTTTTGTTCTATCGCACAGGCTGAACCAGTGATCCAATAATTAATCTGAAAACAGATTTGAATTCGTTATGAAATCTACTTGAGATCGGTGGGTGTACTTTTTGGATATCTTATTTCTACTACGCATAAAACACGTTTGAATATTTTATCAAATTTCAAATTTTAAAATAAAATTTGGAAAGTTATAATTAAAAATTTTAAAAAATAATCTGACCGATCTCATGGTCAGATATCCAGGGGCCTTGAAGCTTTTGGGTACCGGCCAATTTTTATTATGAAAAAATGATGTGTTTTGGCTGAAAAAAATGGCCGTTATCGATATTTGTTGTTTAAAATTTTCTATCATAGAACAGTCGCAAACTGTAATTCAAATAGGATTTTTAGCAAGCAGCAAGGCCCTTATTGCGTCAACGACCTTTATAATAATTACCAATTATAAATTGTACACTCTCGACCAGTGCTTACGCCAATTTTAAGATCTAGATCTGGCAGAAGATGTTTTTTAAGGGATTTGGGGTGTCCTTTTAACCCCCCCCCCCCCCCGTGAAAGCCTGAGATTTGCCGCTGTTTTGCTCTCCCAAGTTGACATCATGTTTACATATTGATTTTGGATGAGTCGATTTCAGTTTGGTTAACACGTTTTGAAGTAAAATAATCATCCGAATCTAATTGAGCACGAAGTCGTTTTACTGCGATTACTATTCTGCGGATGTGTTAAACCGATATAGGCAAGTATGCCTATATAATCTTCAAATGAATTACCATGAAATAATGAGACCTCTATAACATTATTTGCCAGAGATGATTGCGATCGTTCAAATTACCCAAATTGCCGAATAGATGCCGTGGATAATCGAATATTGATATTTTTAACCGCCGGATGTTGGTTTTTTTTCTCTCGGATGATTAAACATTCGAAAACAATATTTTGACGTTATACGTTGTCGATGTCCAATTGTATACTTCTTTCGCATCTATATTGTATTCATATTATTCATTCCATTCAGTCAAGTACGCCATCAACACAGCTAGTATTCATAGTACCTATAATCTTTAGTATTGTGTATACTACCTCTATTATATGACTATCTTTTACAGGAAATAGATAGCGAAAAATTCGATTGGACAATAATCGTTTTTACTATTACAATAAGTCCGTTTACATATGGTAGTCACATTTAATATAAAGAATCCTATTCCCGTGCGATCGTCCCGACATAGTTTTCGAAGTCTTCAAACGACAGCTCATTTTTTTTTTACCTCAATTTCTCAAAAATTAGTCACGAATCAAAGCTATTTATAGTCTACCGGATCTAGTAGATTGACGTTAAGCTCTTCCAGCGGTAGACCTAGTAAGTATAGTAGCAACTGCTATACTGATTATAACAGAAGGCTTCTACTTTTTATTTTTGGAATTTATAATCCAGTGTGTGACATTAATCGCCATATTCCAGTCTATTGGAATTTGAATACTGATTGACTTTTCTACATTCAAATAAATATATCATTATGTATGTTTTATGTTTTAGGGAGGACATCCGTTAGTATTAATTTAAATTTTACTACACTTAAGTAAAGATAGATAATTTGTACAGTATCTGTTTAAACTTAGAAATTATCTCATTGCTGATATCAACTAGAAAAATCTGGGTTAAGTAATACTTAACCTCGTTAAAAACTTTTAACGACTTCAGTAAGTCCATTGTTTCCGAATTCTTCATGTTCTCTATATTAACTTAATTGTGGAAGTTATAACCGAAGGGTTATAACTTAGCTTTACCTACTTTATTTTATTTAGCTTAATCAATAAAATATATAACCAATGCTGGAATTGTAGCGTAGCCCTACTATTTTTTATAAGTGTTGTTATTTTAGAGCTGAACAAAATTCGGGGTATGCTCTTTTTTTAAGTAAAAACACCCTCCTACTATTATTTTTCCAATTCGAACACTGTATATAATATACACAACCCAACAATTCAAACCATCTTAAAACGGACACTAGTTCTTATTTGTTGTGAATAGGTTTGACATGGTCACTGTAGGCAATCAATATAATAATTGCTTGTTATTTAGTGAATTATTTGGTAAGCGGCGCCACAATACAATACAAATAGACAAAAGTTGTTAAAGCGTTTTCTTTAAAAGACATGCAGAAAGTACACAAATAGATACATACCTACTATATTATAGTATAATATGATTGAACAACGGATACTTTTAAAATGTCTAAGTGGCTTTCTTTCTCGTGCCAGACACTAGTGATGCACATACAAGAATATCTATTGGATAACCTACCTAATGGATCTTGACAATAATCATTGTACGCTCGTTTTCATTAAAAACGTATTAATAAAACGATTCGTATATGTAATAATGTAAGTAGGTACGTATAACGTATGTGTCGAGCAGACCATAATCGTTATAGGACAGACATAAAGATAAACCGGTGTCTGTTCATCTAACCGTGGACGACAGTATATTATTTTATACTGTCAGCCATATGTACAGATTTTGGTGTCATCCGTGCATTTATTTACGTTTTTTATGAATACGGGCACGAAGAAGCCGTTAAAACGGACTTGTAGAATACCTACCTGCGCAGTTAGTTTATCAAAGAATATAATCTTGAATTTTTATAAACAATAAATTGTGTATACTATTTAGTATAATGGAACATTTAGTATAATAAAACCAAGTGACTAATAGTGACCCAGTGGATAATAAGGATTAAAAATTATTTAGAGTTTAGAAAGTATATTTTTATGGCTACTAATAGAAGTTGAAGAGGACCTATCGACTTTGCAATCAATGGTACAACTGAAGATTGTGAGGTATGTGGACGGTATTTAAGAATGTTATACATAAGAGACGATAAGGTAAATCTGACAGACCAGGAAAAAAGCTATAAACTGTATAGTGTAAACTCTCTAAGCCAGCATTATACTAGTAACTAGCTGGTAACGTAACTATTATGGTAAATGTTGAATCTATTACTTAAAAAATGGTAGTTGTATTATTGAATGTAATTTATGAAATTTAGACATATAGAAAATAATTATACGTATGATTTTTTTTGGAATGTGTCTATAACGAATTTGATTTATTTTTTCCGTGTATGTAGAGCATTTCTTAAGAGCAGCGAATTGTTTCATAAGATATAATTATGTACATAATATTATGTTTTTTTTCGTTACATGGTGGTTTAGCATGCAATGTATTTTTTTAATGGTACTCGATAGACGAACGGATCTTACTGTATTTACTTCCGGCCATGAACATCACAAACTATCATTGAAAGGTCAACGATCGATTCCAAAGAAAAGAAAAAATAAATACAAATATATAGGTCTGTTTACCACAGCGTAGGTCAAGGACGTTTCTGTGTATTTTTTGTATAATTTTCATGGCGTGTATCCGTTTAAAATTAGTATAATAACTAAGACAAATGTAATGTTTTTCGTACCACTAACAAAAACACACCAACTACAAAAAAGATTACGAGAAAACATGTAGTATGTTTAATGTTTATATTAGTCTAAATAAATAAATAAACTTAATATTATCTCCTTTAAAAGGTTTTATAATTATGTACTTTTTTTAACTTCTAAAGCTCAAATGTGTTATTATAGTGTACTAAGTAACAAACACGTTGTCTAATTTTATTAAAATTAAAGCCCAGTGAGTAATCACTCATATATTAAAATTCAATAAGATCTATTAAAAACAAATGTTTATATTATTTAATTATCATATTTTACTAATTCTAATACAAAAAACTCCCCCAAAAATAAGAGAAATAACAAAAAGTTTCCATCCCTTCAAGGGAAAGGGCTATTAATAATGTTTTGTTTTCTATACGTATATCAATAGTAATATTTAAATAATGTTCTACGTCGTACATTTTTGTTGAAAAATATAAAAATTATTTTTCTCAATTTTAAAGTGAATTCGTGAACTTTAAAAATATTTTGCAGAATAATGTACCTTTTAAGTACGATTTATATGACCTAAGACTTACTATGTGAATAAAACGGTTCAGCAGTTTTGGCATTATCGTGGGTCTAAACAAAAAACACCTTATTGTAAAAATAATAGGTACTTTCTTAGCTCCACATCAAATCTAAAAGAAGCACACGTATAGTTAAAAAGGCAAAGCTATGTTAGAATTATGTTTTTCTCCAAAAAATGTGCTATGTAACTAGTTTTTTAAGTTTTCCATTTAAAAAAAACATGGATAATTAGATCAATCAAAATACAGTGTAGTATTCTACTTTTCTAGGCAATAATCCTTTTTGACCTATTTATTATGTTTCATCAATTATTAAAGTTTTCATTTATCATAGGACTTATTTACGGCTAGGTTTTGTTGATGAAATTGAAATAAGAGAAGAAAGGAGAAAATACATAAATTATGTTGTCACCTCGTTCCAAATACTTTATCCGCGGAGAATTATAATAACTATATACAGTTCACACTGTTAGTAAGTCACAATCAACAATTTATAGTATTCGAATTCTTATGCAAATGAATCGTATATATTATATTTCATATTATATTTAATGCGTAAATAGTTGAACAACAAATACTATATTTTATCATAAAGAAAAAAAAAATACTGATCAGTAATTTCTTATAAGATTACTTAAAGATCACTGCTTAGGATGTTTTGGAAATACAAGACCGAAATGTATTAAAAGAATAGTGTGAAGTTTTAGTCAAACATTTAAAAACAAACTTAACTCTTAAGTAGGTCTAAAGGCGAACCAGCGTACCAGTTAGTTATAAGCTCAGTGGCGAGGTCAATTGTTATAATCGTCAAAATAATTGTTGTGAAGTACCCTCCACTTACTTTAGCTATTAGGTTAATACATATGTCAATTTAGTTTAGACCGAGGCAGTTGTTAAAGTGGTTTGGGGAGAGATCACTCTTATATTACTATTTGCTTTAAGGGTTTTTATCTCTAAAACTTACGGCTTACCAGCAACTGTAATTAACCTTTATAGAATTTTATTAGTCCACTTTAACCACTGTCGGACAGAGTTGAACGTTATTCGCGGTTATAAATAATTAGTCTCTGTACGCGTTAAAGTTATTATTCTACGATTAATCGACGGACGTGTGAACAAGAAAAAAAATCGTTTGCTCCTAAACAGACGCTGAGACGTTAATGCCTCACGAGAGCTACGGCAACAACACAATACGATCAAATACACTAACCATCTGTCATCATCTATATTATATCTTTGGAGAATCGAGAATACCGCTTCCGATACAGTAGAAATAATAATATTATACTTTTAATGATCGGAAGAGCGGCAATAAACATAATAGCGTTAACCGTTTTTTTCTTATCTATATTTCCTATTCTCGCTTGCTACATAAGCATTTCTCTTAAATGTATATAAAAGTTATTATTTATTTTTTTCGTTCTATGTTCCTATACGTCGTATAATAAATACTGGGGCGAAATCGTGCAAGGACATTTAGGTTTATTGTCGATAATAATCGTTCCGGGGCATTGTTTTTCCCTGTTTGGCACACTTCTTCGGAATAGCACGTTTTCCTTACAGGACAGTACAACACAACCGGGTCCGGAGATTTTGCCATATTCAGAGCAAAACGATTGCACTGCGGCGTCTAATTGATATTATATTGCTATATTATTGTCTTTAAATTAGACACATTGTTTTCACTCTCTAACAATGGACAACTGGTCAACGTTGCAGATATATCAGAAAATCAGTGCTATAATGTTGCACGAATCCTCCTAGTATATATCATTAAAATATAATTAGTATTTATCTTTAAACGCAAATATACAAACTAGTTTGCTAACATTTTTTTTAAATGCAACCACCCTAAGAATTTATTATAAAATGCAAGTATTGGCAACTACCAATTGCCAGCTGATAAACCAGCTACTAGCGTGTATGTGAAACGTATACTAAAATAGAGGAATAAACAGTAGAGTAGTTGTGCTATAATGTGTAATTGCAAAAGCAATTAATAAAAAAAGAAAACAGTAGAGTAATAATAGTAATAACTACTATCTTTACGACTGGTCAACTCATAAAAACTATTTTATTGTACTCACTTTGCCAGTAGTGTCTGTGGATAGCTCAGTAGTGTGCAGGTCGTCAGCGTTTAGGGATGCCGAACATGGTTCCTTGTACCTGGACGGACAGGCGCACAGGGGCTGCGTGTAGTTCAGTCGGACGTACACGGCATTGCAAACCTGTGTTATAGAAAAACAAGTTATATTCAAATAATAACTAGAATCAATGTCTAGTGGTTAAAATACAATTTTAAGTGATGAGTACAGTATGAGTATAGTACCAAAAGAATACTGCTGTACTAAGAATACATTTTACAAAAACATGTTTTGGCCATATATTTCCCGCTTAATTTTCACACTTTCAGTTTTTTGTTTTAAAATTTGTCGTACATTGTTGAGAGAAGCTAATGAATATCGCCAATGAGAACATATTAAAGATATATTTTTTAATTCAGTTCTAAAAAAATTATAAAAATCACAAATCATTTTGATCCTCTTCGCTTCGATTTCAAAAGAAAATTTTTAATTAAAACCGTTACGGTGATTTTAGTTTCACTCTTGGTTAGAAACGACTCATGAATAATTAAGGAGGTAATCCTATTCTATTATCAGAATCCATTAGATTTTAATAACGACATTTTTTAAGCTACCAATCCAGTTCAGCATAAAATATGAAATTATGTGTCTAAAAATTCCAAAATTATAATGGCTTAATAAATTTTTTATTAGCACGAATATTATGTTTACTTTTTTGTTTTTATTCTTGCGCAATGAAGTTTCTTTTCAAAAAAAATGTTTAAGTATACACATGTACCTTACCAGGCGATTGTATATATAATCAGGAGTAGCGTAAATAATACTATAACGGTGTCCTTACCTGTTGAACAGCACATTCGGGCAATAAGTATATGTGCTGGTTATGTGGGTAATAGTGGTACTTTGTCGGCTTTAACCCTTGGTCGGACGCCGATTTATTCGATTCCTGCTGCAACATAAAGATATTTCGCATTAGTCAACATACATTTAAGTATTTTCTTTTCGAACAGTCTTTAAGAAGGTATACGAGTTGTCTTTACAATTTATTGTTTTTACCATAACCGCGCAGCGGTATATAAGTAGAGAACACTTTTAAACAAAACTCATCATTATTTTTACGGCCTCTAATATAAGCTCGCATTCTGGATTTCTCTTGGAAAACAAATATTTGTATTACTTTCAAATATGTATTCTGATCCCAAAAATAATTTTATTTTATATCAAACAATAATTATAAAATATTTTATACTGTGAAATATAATATAATGTATATAATGTATTATCCTTTTTGAATACCTAAGTCCACTTTCATCTAGTTTTTTGCTTTCGCCTGTCGTTCACACACACACACAATACCAATAACATTTTGGAAAATGAAACCTAATATACACTTACACGTACTTCAATTTTTATTATCTTCTCTTGACGGCGATACCTATACACAGTATACAGCAATCTATGTATATATAAATACATATACAATCGGGATTATACCGAAATACATCTCCGAATGTCCTCGTTACCCTTACTCAGGTCTGTTCCGTTGCTGGGTTCAGACTGTATATCGCTATTCATTCACATAGTTCTGTTAACAGACACCGTGATGTATACCGATAAACAATACCGCTGCAGCGTGTTTCGAAAACCATTCAACTAGCCGTGTCATGTATACGCGTGAAAATGCATATATATATTTTTGACACACTACCAGTGGCCCAGTTAGGTGGGCGGTTTGGCGGCACCCGGAGCTTGAACACTGTTACTGGCTACGGGTAATGCGATACGATAGCGCTGTGACAAATCTGTTGGTTATGTCCACACACGGCTATAGCAACAAGAATCAAGATCATAAAAAAACGGTCTGTTATTTTTTCCTCTGCGTCCAGACCGCACATAATGTGGTCTATCGGCGTTTACGGTTTTCTGGCCAATGATATCGAAAAGTTTTTCAAGTAGAATTGCATAAAAAAAAATAAAAAACCGTACAGCTGTAATAGGCCATGCACTCTTGGTTGCTCAGCGCTATCTTAATCCGTAATGCATTAGTTCCGGCCCGGATGCTACGATTTTTATTAATGCTAACGTCAAGGTCTAGAGTTTTTCAAATACGAGATCCCCGTACTTGAATAATGCTTTCCGAACAGTCAACGTTTTGGCTAGATCATTTTAAAAATTGTATTATCGTATGGCTTATTTTGACCGACAGTAGGCTTAAATGGTCTGAGTCTGGAGTAGTATATGGGTTCTCTCCACCAGTTTTTTTTGTACTATGGATGTTCACCAACCATTTAAACCGTACCACATTTCTTTTTTGAATATTTTAAATATTCATAGTAAAACAAACTAGTTAGTAAAAACTGAATTGTATAAATGGTTGGTGAACATCCATAGTAAAAAATAGGAGGAGAGAACCTATATTACTACTGTTGTCCGGTCGCCTCGGAGAAGAATGAAAGTCTTGCTCTTTAGACAGTCCAGAGAGATTTTACAATAATTACAATATCAAGGACGAATAACCCGTAATTCGAATAAAATTCTATTTAACTAAGTTAGTGAATAAGAGTTAATTTTTTAAAGTAAGAACAATTTATTATATATTTGTATTCTATATTTTATAACTTTAATTCTAACTAATATTACGCGTTTTTTAATTTAATATGTTTTGTTTTTTAGTTCAATACTATTAACTATTTATTAAATACAATTATTATTGTAATAAGTAAAATCAATAGGTATTTTACAACTATTTGTCAATAATTCAACAATTAAATAACATCTTTCGAATAACATAATTATTCAAATAAATATGTATTTATGAATAAAGTATACTATTTTCATATTATGTTAAATCACAAGTATATTTTGGTGCGTTAAAGTGGTGGTAAGGGAGAAAAGGTGATACGGAAAAGACTAGTCAGGGATCTTTTTTTAATTATTATGTTAAGTATACATATGAAGGGCACAGGGGGAAAACGGTAGTTGTTACATTATGGAAATTTTAGAGTATAGCAAAAACAAAGTTCGTGAATTCCTCTACCTCTTATATAAGAACAAAAAAAATCATATTAAATGCTACTCTAATAATAAATGTATTTATTTAAACAATCTATTGACATAAATAAAAAAAATTATTGGCATAAATTTAAAAAAACTATTTGAAAAAAAAAACGTCATAATGTGACTACTACCGTTTTTCCCTTGTGCCCTTCATATGTTCTCCCTATAGAAATATAATATATAATAATTCATTTTATCTATACGAGGTTCTTAAACTTAACAGACACAGACTAATAACTAATTACTTCTACGTTAATTGCACATAAATCATACCATAGGGTTATCGCTACAAACTAACCTTTGCAATTTTTACACTTTCTTGTACATGACATATCTTATAAAAAATGTGGTTTTATTATTTCATTTGACAACGGACAGTATTTTGTGATAGTTTGTAAAAGCGAAACGTGTCGTTTAGTAATTTTCAAACCAAATATAGTTAGGTAAAGCATGGGTATTTATTGTAGCGTATTAGTGGCCGCTTTACTCCCACAGTGAAACTGTGCTTGTGAAACCATGTCATTTATAATAATGTTGTGATTGTCGACTGACATACGTTGTCGCGTCTGTCGACCACCGCACCGTGTGAAATGTTTGCTGTCAACGCTGAAGTATTGCTGTAGCGCTTTGAGATTATAATGATTATTGTTTCTAAAGTGTTAACCTCCAGAGTTTAAATAATAATAAGGTTTATAGTATGGCATATTCAGGGTTTCATTAAACGTTAATTGTGTGTTTGTGTTACGTAATTGCGCAATTGCGCAAAAAATCCTTCATAGGATAAACAACTAACGAGTAAAAAAAGTACCTACTTAATCGAAATGTTGTTATTTATTATTAAAAATAAGATATAGGAGAACGGAAATGGAAAAAATTATTTCGGCTTTTCGCAGAATAATCAAGCATGTCAACTTGCTAGTTCATTAAACGTGACATGTAATACTTTGTAATTATACTTAAGTTTTTAGCTGTTACATAAGTTGGCTAGTGACTAGTTACATAATATAGGTGCCTACCGAAATTATATGGTTAAACCGTGTGACAAAAGAGTTTTCCTGGTGGTCTCAACTCTCAAGTCTCTACAACACCATTTATATTGTAATATAAATTATAATACTACTATCATAATCGTACTTCTAGTATGGTGATCTCACGGTTTTAGATTATCCGCACATCCACCGTGTGTGCTATTGAAGGGCACCGGCAATTAAGGCGTTTATATGCGGACGTGCCTGTCTCCCCGGCGCTGCAGGTTGACACGCTGAAATCGTTAACCATTTTTCTCTTGTTTCCTTGCTTCCCATTATTGTTCTAGTTGTACGATAGATTTTTTTTAATGCCATTCAATTTACTTATTATAAGTACAACGATTTTTATTTCTAATATTTTATAAAACTTGAAGAGTTTGCAAATAGTTTGGAAATTAGATCAAACATTTATATTATATAATATTTTATATAATAAACCCAGAAAAACGCTACGGTAGCTCAGTGTTAAACTTGTGCGCAAAGTGTACCTTTACTAATAAATAACATTATAAGTACATATCAAAATAATTATGGTATTTACATATTTTCCCATATCATATCACATTTTTAAGGCTTATGTTAAAACACTTCTGTTTTTTTTTTTTACTTGACAACTTACAAAGTGTTTTTATTTGGATATCAGTAGTATTTTTTATATACAGTGTGTTACGCTAGTTTTATTCTGGAACACCCTGTATAAGTTTAAATGACACGAATAATTCACTCATTATTTCATAATATAGTACTGATAGTGATTTGATTCAATAAAACATAAAAATATTATTATTATAACTAATTATAAAATTATAATTGAAATTTATAGCTGGAAATACCCTACACCTGACAACAAACCGAATTTCATTAATTTTACACAGAGTGCGCACATTGAGAGAATCACTTTAAACTGACCAACGTGAGTGATATGTATATAGCTCACTGTTAGAGTAATGGGGGAACTTATTATGGTTGGGCTCGACAAATATTATAAATTATTTGACAAGCGAAACGAATTATGGCTCTACAAGGAAGAGGAAAAATAAAAGAACTCTACTATTTCGTCGTTCTAAACTGTTCTGCGAATTAGACAAAACAAACGAGCTAATAAACAGCGTAGACAAAACACTTTCAGTGAGATTCCTCCTCAAATTTACTTTTTATGCGACCGTCAACAAAGTAAAGACCGTGAATACGTTTACCCGTAATTTGCCAAGTATTTTTATCCTATGCACACTCGATAAGGACTAAGGTTATATATAGATCTGGTATAAGCACAGAATAAAAGTGTAAAAGTGTCATATTATTCAGTATGGGTTTTCTTCACTGCATTATCTTTAAAATATCTCACAGACAAATACCATAGTAGATAATATAAAACACTTACAATATATCGTGTCATCTTGGTAAAAAATAAAATTGTTGCACCGACAACGTTATTCAATAGTAAAAGGGATTTGTTTTGCCGTTAAAAGCAAAAAATAATATAATATTTTATGTTTTCTTTGAAAATGTGACTAGAGTTTTTTTTTTAATAATATAGAATGACCATAGTTGTGTGGAACGTTCTTAATGTTTCATATGCTTCAAACACCTTACACCTACACTACAAACCCATCCGGGTTTCTACCGGTAAATAACAAGAGCGATACAGTATTTTATGTAGAGTAACCGGAATAACTGCTGTTAAGTGTATTACACATGACTACTGAATAACATAATTTCATCAACAGCATATCCATTCACCAATCATAAATGTGCTGTTGTATGTCGCGTCGATCAAATTTTATTTGGACAGCATGATTGTTTTTAGTTCAAGATCTAACTTGAAGTATACATTTTCTATACGAGCACAGAGATATGGATTAAT